TCTCGCTTCGTGTGTTGCATCATCTCAATATTCAAATTTCGTTTGCCGCACTTACTCTTTCAACCCACTTCGGAAGCAGGGTTGACTCCGAGGTAGATTTACTCATACTTTTGGAACGAATAGGCTCCGCCCATATGGTCAGTTACCTCGCGTTTTGGAACGGCGTAGAGTTAAGCCCATGGCACATACAAAAACGTAAGGCCGTAAGACATAATCAGTAAGCGAATTGGCCAATCACGATGAAGACCGTAAGGCCAGTAGCGAATCCAATCTTACGATTTCTTTATTGTTTACGTATTACGGTCTTACGTTTTTGTATGTGCCATGGGCTTTAAACTCTGTTACTCGGAGTGAATTTTGGAACGCACCCCTGGTTCTAGTCTTCTTGGATTACGGGCTATATGTGACGGCACCCTAAAGCGGGGAGCACAGACTTTTGCATAACGCATAACATGTAATGCATAAGAAATTTAATCAATCAGAATTCTTTATTTCATGGAAAGGAAGGAAACGGAGGGCTTTGATTGGTACATTTTCTTATGCATTACGTGTTATGCGTTATGCAAGAATCTGTGCTCCCCGCTTTACGTGCAATGGCCTTTACGGCCATTATAAATCAGGCTTAAGACGATCTTGAAATAAGAATCGACTGTGAATACCGGCCTTAAGGCTTGTGTCCACGATGCTAGAAATCCGTCCGAGTTCTCAATTCAAGTCCTGAAATAGAAATAGTTGTACTTTGATGACTGTAGATAGCGTTAACACAATAGAATATATGTAAGCGACGTATGTAATCCTGTTGTATTGGATCGGAAAATCATTGGCTGCGTTCAGCAGAGAAAGCAGCTTTGCAACTGTTGTAAAATTCTTCAATATGATTGGTTTATACGTTTAGATCTGTAAGGAACCAAAAGCAAGAACCAGTCGTATTGAAGAATTTTACAACAGTTGCAAAGCTGCTTTCTCTGCTGAACGCAGCCATTGTGCGCTGATGTACGACAACGATTAATACACGTTTTCGTAATTTATATGATATAAATCTCGAGGGATCGTTTGTACGGACATGCTTTCCTTTACATACTTTCCTTTTTTCAACGGATTTACTTAATAATTACATTGATTGGAGACGCGGCCATTCTCTAACTGAAGAAAAAGCGTAATTTATATCAACATTGGTATAGAATTTACAAATGAAATTCTAATTTTTTAAATACATTGAAATAAAAATAATATTTTGAAATAAATATAAGTTTGTTCCGTTTAATACAATAAAAGTTTGAAATCATTTAGTTAAATAATTAGAATGAAAAATGCATGAAACAGAGCATATCCAGTATCAATGCTCCTTCAGGTCTGAGTAAATTTTAATTTATTTTGATTATTCGGGAAATATAATAGATAAAGCTAAAAATATTTTTTTAACTATTAAAAATTATTGATATATGTGAAATTAAAATACGAACTGCTTTTAATTGAAGAGAACTAATGTACATAACCTAACCTATTCACAGTGTTAGTTGGAACATGAATAACTCAGCAAGAAAGACAAAATTGAAGAAATTGCTGACTCTTGCAGCTTTAAATTGGCTTCGTCGTCACGCGTCCTACTGGCTCGAAGGCTCAAGTCGTTCTGGGCTGCGGTCCACTTGACGCTACAAACGCTTCGAAGCGTTTGAGCAGCCAATCAGAACAAAGAATTTTACGAATTGACTAATCAAAGAATGCTTCGAAGCGTTTGTAGCATCAAGTGGACCGCAGCCCTGATCAGTTCTGATGAAGTATCTACCAGTATCTACGTAATGTTTCTCATGTTGTCCAAACTGATTAGCTTTATAATGTTGGCTAAAGGAATTGCATCAAAATGAAGCAGCTAGTACGAAAAATGGGACAAGATGCATTTTTTTGTACGAGGCTTCTGTTCGAGATATTTATCCGAGTTTCCTGTGTCCACGATTTGAGTTTTAGTAACTTTCTCTCTATCCGAGATCTCAAATCGATTTTTAGCATCGTGGATACAAGGCTTTAGATGCTTGATAGAATGTGTTTAGTTCTGAACTAAACCGCTAGAATCCGCTTGTCTTCCGATAAAAATATCTAGTGAGCTCATTTAAATGAAAAATGGCGTGCAAGGTGCGTATTGACATGTCTAAAGTACAAATCAAACATAATTATCGTTTATTATTATTTACGATCCATGAGTTATAAATGTGGCATTTTGCAGATGGATAAAATGAAAATTGTGCATCAATTAATAGAAACTTCCAATTTAAGCACAGTTTCACAATTCACGGTTAATTCTTAACCGAGGTTCAACTTGTTTCTTATCTCTTTCCAATTCTAGAATTAGAAAGAAACAATGAATAAGTTGAACCTCGGTTAAGAGTTAACCGTGAGTTGTGGAACTGAGCCTTAGACAGCAGTTCTGATGAAAGCAGTAGTGTAATGGAAGAATTGAGTAGTAGTGAAAATAGTAGCGTCACTTCATCTAAGGGCGGAATTCATAGTATGTTGCTCAAGATTCGAGATGGTCTTAAGCTAGTGCATGAACCAATCAGAGAGCCGTATTAGCATCTTAAGGGCCACTGTCACCAAGCTCAGTTAACTTAACTGGCCAGTTAGTCCATCGGAATTGACCAATCACATTTGTTATTTTGTTTGCTTTGTCACGTCCGTAACATTTCCATTTTTGTCCAGTAATTATTTTTCCG